GGACTCTTTTGCAAAGAACCAGTGTATTGTGATGCGTCAAGAAAGAGTATCAAAGAGCTCACCAATATCCTTAGCCCCACGGTGGGCGCCAAACTGTTTACCCTCGAATCCGGATAACAATTGAATTTATATGGGGTTTTAAGGATCCGTGAACTAAAAGATACAAAAGGTTTTTAGGTTAAGGAAAATAAAGATAAAGACTCAACAATTGCTGTTAAAGTAAATAATCGCAGAATATAATATTGCTTAGAACAATTGTGCTTGATGATCCTCAAGAATTTAGAGAGATCCCCCTTTATACATTCTGATTAAGGGTAAAAATAAGGTAGGTCAATTGATTACATCGTGGATCCCTGTAATTACGCCTTAATGGCCTGAAGTGGTTGAGAAAATCACGTTTGGGCGAGATATCCGGCGACGCTTGGTTATCCGTTACGAGTCCGGCTTTCGACCTTGTGTGTTTCTCCATCCGGTGGTGACTCCTATCGAGCTCTGTAACGGTCTCGAAATGACTCGACCTCGGTTGTAGACGTGGCCGTCGTTCTACCTTGCATCCAGGTCGGGTTTGATGGCCCCGATTTGCTCCGGTCCGGACCCAACCCGGTCGGGCTCAAGCAAAAAAGGGTATCACCTAATACAGGTATGAATGCGAATTTAACTAGGCCCCAATATAAATATCGGATACCGGATGAACAACAAAAAGACACTATCTTTTACCTACTAATGTTTCATTTTGTCCCCTTTCCGAAATTAAATAAGACAATTATTACCATGCACATGCTCATTTTAAGACATTTTAGAACTTCATACTCAATTTTATTGACAATAAAATTTCTTAGAGATTTTTGATACACTAATTAAATTGATAGTTGTGAGTATGAACACCTTCCCATTTAATTACCGGGATTAGAATACTAGTTTTAATATAAAATTTGGGATTACATTCTCTAGTGATTGATTATGAGTTTATGAGTTAATATTGGTATAAATTTTATGCTTAAATTTAATAATATTTATTCCATATTAGATATAATCCTGAAAATATAATTCTTGGACAACTTTGTTGCTAAAAGTTTAAAACAAGAGGAGTAGGAAAAGAGTCATAAGACTAACCTATAGGCTACAAAATGTCTTAATTTGAATAAGAAGATCCATCCTTCTATTAAAAGGTGGAGGAATATCGTCATCCACATTCTTAACAGTAATGTTTATTGCTCTTCTATTTTAAATTTTAATCGCTTTACAATAAATTAAGGCTCTTCTATTTCAATTTTAATCGCTTCACAATAAATTTTAAAACTACTACTTTTTAATATTTCAAGAAAATTGAATTATCAATTTATTAATTTTTTTGTATATGAATACTACTCTCTCCGGTCCAAAATAAATAATTTTTTGGCTGTTTTCACACAGATTAAAAAATTCACCTTTTAACATTAATTAGTAATCAAATTGACCATATTAACCTTTACTATCTCTTTACATAAACACTCCTAAGACATACTCCAACACTATTTACTCCAAGGGCAATGTAGGAAAAAACTAATTACTCCATCCGTTCCGTTTTAAATTAGATGAGGTACTTTCCATTTTAGTCTGTTCCAAAATAAATGACACATTTCTAAATTTGAAAATAATTCAACTTTAAACTCTTCATTTTATACATTTTACCTTTGATGAGAGCTTTTATAACCACACAAATGTCATGACCCTACAAAACTTTTACCCCTTAAACTTTTAAGACCACAAGTTTCAAAAGTATTCTTTTTCTTAAACTTCGTGCCGAATCAAACTAGCTCATCTAATTATCTAATTGGAAAAGGAGGAAGTAATTCATGACAATAAACTATCCAAAACTAGGAAAAGATAGATTAAGGGCCCACAAAAGGACCTACAAGATGACACATGGATGATCCAAAACATCTTACAACAAATGTGTTCTTCTTCTTCACACGTCAATCTAAACCAAATCCACACACTCAAAACCATGAAAAAAACTTCCAAAATTGCATAACTAACTTCAATTCCACACTCTCAAACTTCCCTTTCTTTCCTCTCTGCTCAATTCTTGATTTTTTCTATAAAGGCATAGTAATATAATGCCTGCTTTTACAGCTGCCACAGTTCTTTCACAGTTTTTTACTAGTGATTCTGTTTCCACTCATCATTCTTGTTGTTTTTCAGCTAATTCAAGTCCATTACATGTGAATTTTTCACTTAGTAGTTGTTTGCTTAAAAGGGGTTGTTCGTTAAGTCCTAGAGTTTCAGTTTCTACTAATAATGCTAAGATTGATGGAGTTGATCAACAATCTTTGGCCCCTGATGAGATCAAACAAGATCGGGTGAGACCCTTTATTCATATTTAACTCATTTACTTTCACTTTTATTTTTCTTCTTGTGCCGAGGGTCTGTCGGAAACACACTCTCTATCCACAGGGTAAGGGTTGTGGGTAAGCTCTGTGTACACACTGCTCTACCCAGACCCCACTTGTGGGATTATAGTGGGTTGTTGTATTATTGTACTTTCACTTTTATTTTATTTGGTGTGATGATTACATGAGTTGAGATCCTAACTTGTTTAGGACTGAGTCGTAGTAGTAGTTGTTGTTGCTTTTAAGTCTTTTTCTTGGCTGATAAGAAATAAGGAAATTAAGCTAGCGTTCGGACATAGATTTAGTTGAAACTTGAAAAAATAATTTTTGAAAAATAATTTTTGGAAGTTGAAATTATGTTTGGACATGCATTTTATTTGAAAAAAATTTGAAGTTTTGTGAGTAGGAGAACAAGTTTCACCTAATTTTGGGAACTTGAAAAATAATTTCAGAAATTCTTCAAAAATAGATCATTAATCTACGAACAAACAATGTTTTCAAAAAAAATTTTGAAAAAACGTTGGCCAAACGGGGCCTAAGAATCTTGAAATTGAAAAGAATTTTGTAAGTGAAGTCTTGGAACTTAGGATGAAATAAAATGAAGCAACCCCATTTCATTTTGGTAGTTAATTTGTTAAAGGGCACTTACATTTCATTTTTAATTATTTTCTCCATGGTGATGCTCATATAAGCAATGGCATTTTGTCACCCGGAGTGGATGGTTAATTATGGTTTATCCCTAAAAAATGTTTGAGGAGTTTACAGTTTGATGTTGGATCATGATTGGACAAGCCGATATAGAGTTAAGAGGAATTGGAGTTAACTTGTTAGAACTCGAGCATTTCGAATCTAAGGCATTTTTTGGAATAATAATGGTTCAGATAACGTTTTGTTGATTATGCCGTTGAGTTATTCAAGTAGTGTTGTTTAGGACATGATTATGGCCACAGTACCATATGTCTTACACGGCTGCTCTTTTTATCTGTTGATTGACTTGATTCAATGTTTTCGATTACCTTGTTTTATTCTTCGGTTAGATTATTGTGGTTTGAAGTGTATGTAATGTAGTTCTCCTTTACTACAAAGAATTAGAAGTCTGCTGATTGGAAAGCGGCAAAGACATACCGTGAGAAGGGACACATATTCGAGGGCAAGGTTGAAGGCTTCAATGGTGGTGGTTTGCTTATTCGATTCTATTCTCTTGTGGGTTTTCTACCCTTTCCGCAAATGAGCCCTTATTACTCTTGTAAAGGTACTAACTTCAACGCTTTTTAGCTTATATTGTGCTTGATCATTATTTAAAAATGTTTGGCATCTGCAATTGCATATCATTTTCAAGGCAATAATAAGCAGAGAAGATAGATTTTGAGTTAGATTTTTTTTTTTACTTTGTATTTTTTGTATGGAGTTACAATCCGTAGGAGAACATATTATCTTCTAGTCAAGATTGACAAGACATTTAATTCCTAAAGTTTTGTTTATCTTACTTATTTCCATTACTTTGTAGAACCACAAAAGACCATTCAAGAGATCGCAAGAGACTTGACCGGTTCTGTCCTCTGCGTGAAGGTACCGATATTAATCACTTAAATACTATTCTTGAACTTCTTCTCATCTAAAGCATGCACATTGCCCTTGTAAAGTATCCGTTGGTTTGAAAGTATAATGCATCTTGAAGGTTTGGAACTTAGATTTTAGATGCCACATTATAATTTCTAGTGCTTGAGGTTTGCAGAATGTTGCAAAATTCCGAGAAGGTAAGATTTCCTTTTCGTGAATGTCACATCGGATAGCTACTTGTAAGCGAAGTTCCAAGTATGATGTAAACTTACTGCGCCATGATTATTTTGCTCTTTCTGGATCCGTTCACTGACCACATAATCCGTTTTGATTCCAACAACCTATTTTTTTCGTTCTATTACTCTTGCTTAGTAATTTAAGGATATAGTTTTATGTACTTGGAGTTAATTTTCTTCATCTTGACTTTCCTTTAAGATTCAAATATCAGTTAACGTTTAGGCTGCTGTCAGGTAATCCAAGCTGATGAGGACAAAAGAAGGTTGATTTTCTCTGAAAAGGATGCTAGCTGGTCGAAGTTTTCTAATCAAATTAATGTAGGTGACATTTTCCAAGCAAGGGTCGGTTCAGTCGAGGATTATGGTGCTTTTGTTCATCTGCGCTTCCCAGATGGTACTTTTTCATAAGAGACAGACTTGCCAGTCTGGATACATTTTAAGCCTGACTATTCCGGTACTTATGTCAATCTTCAAATCAACTAGGAGTAATTCTTATTTACCATGTGATGCAGGATCATATCACCTTACCGGGCTTGTCCACGTCTCAGAAGTGTCATGGGATTTAGTTCATGATGTGAGAGATATCCTTACAGAAGGTGACGATGTGAGGGTCAAAATTATAAATATAGACAGGTATTTTCTCATGATCATGCTTACGTAGATGTGTCGTCTAGTACTGCTAGCAAACATTTTCTTTCAACAGTATCGCCTGTTGAGATAGAACTTGATAAGCTGAGATGTCTACCACGTCTGCGATATGATTGAATTAGAAGGCAGTGATTGTTTTTAATTCCTTTATTTTCTCGCCCGGTCTCTTTCAATTTCACAATACATGAACACATTGCAGAGAAAAATCTAGGATTACTTTGTCAATTAAACAATTGGAGGAAGATCCATTGCTGGAAACACTGGACAAAGTAATTCATAAGGTGAGATGTGCAAATGATAGAATTTTGGTGTCGCCTCCTTGAAATCTAAATTTTTTCTCTAGCTGCGTAATACTGTTACTGATGAATTACAACACTTTGCAGGAAGCATCCGTCGACACTAATTCCTTGGATTCGGATGGTAACATTGTTATTGAGCCTCTTCCAGGGCTTGAAACAATAATTGCAGAACTAATGCAAGAAGATGGGTATGATTGAAGTTTAATTCTTGGCATCAAGTCTTTCATTAGGCTATTATATGAAGATGTTATTAGACCTATTTGCTTGAACGGTTTTCTGCTCATAAATCTATCACGAATTGTCTCCTTTCGTACTTGAATGTCTTGGTAAGTATTTGTCCATCTTCCGTAGTGAGGTTATGAGCTGATTAATTCATCATTTGAAAATAAAATTTAGAGACTTGGAGATAAATTAGAAAACTTCACCTATATTGCTACGACGTGAATCCTTGTAAGTGCTCGTGCCATGTTATGAAAATTGAAGATTAATCCATAAGCGATACCACTTCTCATTAAGACCGTGATATGGTCCCTTGACATTACCACTATAAACAAAGCCTGGTGGTCTAAGTTGGACGAGGACTTGACGTAAACGATCATTTGGTAACATCGGATCTGGTGTTTAGAACTTGAACACTATGGCTTCATCATTTCAAACAATCATAGATGTATATCTCTTATCCCGTAGGAGTAACTCTCAGGAAGCTTCGTTAAAAACATCTCTTTGATTAAATTGGTCTATATTTTGATTCTTCATTCGTTCGCTTCCTTGTATATATACCATTATCTGCACTAATTTAGCACATCAAATAATTATACACGACAGTTTTCTGGTTAATTCACTTGATTATTGAAGCAAATCTGACAAAGTTGTGTTTTTGTTCAATAGCATATATGATGTGACAATTACTCGACAAGGATTTGAGAAACGAGTCGTTTCACAGGATTTACAGCTTTGGTTGTCGAATGTAAGTTGTGTCAAACATAAACCATATGTGATTCACAGTCTTCATGCACAATAGATATCCAATCTTTTCTGTTATGGTATCCTACAGGCACCGGCTTCTGGAGATCAGTTTACGCTACTTGCTCGGGCTGGAAGACAGGTATCATCTTTCACCTCATGCATTCCCCCTTCTACAACCCACACCGCCTTTTTCAATCTAAACCGATTGTTTATGTGATCAGGTGCAAGAAATACAACTGACAACATCACTTAATCAAGAAGGAATTAAAAGGGCTTTGCAACGGGTCCTAGAACGTGTACCATGAGTCGTATCTAAGAGCTCCAGGATTACAGCAAAACATGTAAACCGCAATATATAAAGTTAACGGGAGAAGCTCACATAGTTCATTATTTCAAGTTGTCCAGGAATTGTACAGAACAGTACTTCAAGAAGTTGTACAAAACAACACTTATTGAATCACAGTTTTCAGATATAGTTCTTAAAAACTAAAGGACCTACGAGCTGCCCCCTGCGATTTGTGTTAATAGACATGATAACATGAACTCATGCAATTTCTTGGTACATTGCTACCCATGTTAAACTTGATTCTTTTTTCTGCACTTCTTTGTTTACAGAATTTGCTACTGTTTTGTTAATCTTCATTCTTCAATTTGCTAAAGGTTGAGACCTCATTATGCTCTGCATCACATAATAATCTCCAGACTTACTTTCTCTACATTACAATCTATTTCTCTGTTATGTTATCTATTGTTTTAAACCACTTTTAATATTTTTGTTTATACTACTCCCTCGGGGTAAGGGTAAGGTCTGCGTACTCACTACCCTCTCCAGACCCCACTTGTGGGATTACACTGGGATGTTGTTCATAGAAAGGCAAAAGCATTAAACTAGAAAATTGTATGGAGTGATCATATTTTTGTTGAAAGAAGCAGAATTTCTACCAATTGACCAGAATATATTTAAGGACTGCTGCAACTCGTTAACAACAGGTGCAGAAATACATATATAACACTATGTTTAAGTTAACAGAACTCATACAGCATTCTACTGCGTCTCAATTCTAAAATTTAAACTATATACTGTATATAATAAACATAATGAAGAAAATAATGTATTTACATTAAGTAAATCCTACAATCTATTATAACAACACAGATGAATCCTATGCCCTCATCAGAACATCTTCTTTTTCTCTCTAGCCAAATGTTCCACATATGCATATAGGGGCTGTTCTCCAAATCTTTTCATATTCCCAGCCAACTGTTCTTGCCAACTTAAGAGCTATCTTACTCAGACTCTTTAAATATGTTGTTGGGTGCGTGTCGGATCCTCCAAATTTAGTGCATTTTTGGAGGATCCGACACGGGTGCGGCAACACTTTTGGAGAGTCCGAGCAACATAGCTTAAGAGTAGACCCTGTACATTGGCATGACCATTGCACCCCAAACAGACATAAAATAACTGATCAAACCTGCCATGAAACTTCACAATGAAGTAATAAATGGATCGGTTGACTCTTCAGCCTTTTCACACAAGAAACACCAGCTGCACTTTACAAAGCCTCTCTTCTGAAGAAAATCTCGTGTTAAGTATGCATTTCTGGAAGCCACCCATCCAACACAAGCAACTTCTGTTGGTGCTTTAGTCTTCTATTGTTGAAATTTCCCAATCATTGAAATTCCTCCTGAACTATAGCTGCCACCCTGTTTCATTGTAACAATTAGCGAACAAAGAAATTCTTGTTCACTGTGGTGCTATAAAGAACGGAGAAGTTAACTTTAAGTTTCTCTGAATGCAGCCAATTATCATCCCAGAATTTGATCTTAGCACCTCCCCAACTTCCAGCTTGATGTTCAACTGATATTCACCCAGCCAAAACAAGCAAACATTATATCATGCACATCTTGATCCCTCTTTCAGCTGTGGCAAAGACTGGGACGAGAAGAAGAACAAATATCGATAAACAAGAAGAAAAAACTAATAATTGAATGAGAAAGCACTTCTAATCCTTTTAATGGACAAGAGCAGTTAACTTTTCACAGCTAATCCTTGCGAATAAAGTACTTGTCCCTTTTTTTAAAAAAAAAATCCTTTTGTGGTAAGAATAATTAAATGTGGAAATGGAAAATGTTACAAGTACCAGTTGAGAGTATAGCTAGAAAAAAACATAAAAACACAACCCTTGCTGATGCTAAAATGAGTTGTAACAAGTAATATGTGGGTATGTTATATATTTGATGTAAAAACCATGTCACCTCCTTAAAAATTATTTTGCAAGAAAATTGAAAGATTGATATACTCCACTTAAACGTGGAACCAGATGATGGATATGACAAATATATAGGCCTATCAAAATTCCAAGTTTTTAAGACTACAGAACTAAAAACTTTGGAAACAAAGAACAGCGGTTTTGTATTCGGTTCTAATTCTGAAAAAGACGATATGAACGAGCCTGCGCAGGATCTGATGATGTTAGTGGGAGTTTTATACAGGAGCCAAGAGAGGCACATAGCCAGCTAAAAAAATGCTCCTATTTACCTCCCAGCAAATCTGCATCTTCTTGATGCCTTATCAATGTTACTTACTTCATCTTTAAAAAAAAAATTACAACGAAATTTATAAAACTAAAGGGGTTGTAGAAAAATTGCAACTACAAAACAGAACATCACACCATAACGGCATTAAGGAAAAGCATATGAATAAGGATGAGAAACATACCTCAGAAAAGGATCTTCCAAGAGAATGCTACATAGATGTATTTTCGGGTAGAATTTAGAGGAAGGATCCAGAACTCAAGCCAATGAATCCATATACGACTTAATGTTCATAATATCTTCTTTGGACTTTGGATTATTTTGTGGTTTGAAAAGTTTCCACATTCCCACTGGATGTCGACTTCTCACTTCAGCATTTCTTGCAAATCTTCCATATATTGTTTCACACTCTGGATAAGGCTTGACATATAAGTTATAAAATTTCATTCTACTAGGTTTAATCAACTCCCTCAATCCCACCTCATCACCAAGTCCTCCTATTGATCTTAAATGGTCAATTACCTCGAATCTTGGTAGAATATGTTTATCGAAATTCACCCCCAGGTACTCTGGAACTTCAACAAGACATTGAATATCAACTTTCATCACGTGCACTAAAAACTGGATCTTCTTCTCAACATCCTCTACGCGATAAAGTATCACTCTCGGCTCTTTCCATACCACAGCATAAGCATCCCTTAGTGTTAACCCATGACTGCGTAAGCAATCAACCCTTAGTTTCACCTCGTACCCAGCCTTAAAAGCCCCCTCATGAAAAATATCCTCCTTAATAGATTCCCTACATTTCAAACTCTTAAGCAGCTCCAAACACCGCGACAATTCCCCAACTTCCAATGCAAGAATTCTAGGATCTCTCAGGGCATGTTTCTTGATCACCTCCATGTTAAAGCCCAGAACTTTAAATTCATCAAGCAATCGCTTAAACTTATTTTGAATCCCAAAGGCCAAAACACCTGGATAGACGCAGAGAATGCGATCAAATCCAACCTTGTCAATCCTAAAGGCATCAACGATGAATTCGAAACAGTCATGAATCTTGTCTGCAGCCATCATAGTTACCTTGGGATGTGTCTCCAAAACTTTATTTACAGTAATATCACTAACCCCTAAATCTTTGAGGCATCTCAGAGACCCCAAAACACAATCATAATCTAGTTCAAACTTCACCGAGACCTCCAGAATATTCCGCACAGCCAAGGAGGATAAATTGGATCCCTCTTCTAATCCTCGGATGCCTCCTTCCCATTTCTTTATAGCATCATATTCTAGAACCCTGGGGCAACTATTTATCACGGACACAAGGAATTCTTGAGATGGTTTCAAGGATAATAGAATCTTAAGAGACTTTTCTATTTTGATGGGGTCTAGATTTAGTAAACGACAATTCTTCTCGAGAAAGTTCGTAAGATCTAGAGCTGGAAACCCATATCTTTTAAGAAGACTAGACACCGCGATGAGATTTCTTTGGGAGGAACTTTCTTGGAATTGTAGAGGATATTGAATTTGGGATATCCGTTTTGCAACTGTTGGGTTAGTGCAAAAATAGCGGCGACTTGGATTTGAAATTAGAGTAGCGGGATTGGAAAATGACGTGAAAAAGGATCTGATAATCCTAATGGTCATGGTTTCAGCTGGTTAGTAAGTACTAAAAGGTGTATGTCTGTATGATCAATCATCTGCATTCAAACATTGCATTGCTGGCCTGAAACAACTGACTCAACACGTTAATATAAAATGTGGTGCCAGTGAACTTTGTCAAGAGACAATTATCAGAATCTGGATGTGTATGTGAAAATATAAACTGCACATTTAGCTATCCTGGAACACATCTAGAATTGCATCTTTCCACCTAGTTCTGCAGTTTAGTCACATATTAGCGCAACACCACCCCCAAATCGGAATATCATGACCTATGCTGTGCGGACTCTCCAAAATGCTTCCGCACCCGTATCAGATCCTCCAAAATGCACTACTTTTGGAGGATCCAACACGCACCCGACGATATTTTCGGAGAGTCTGAGCAACATAGATCATGACTTTCACATTCATAGTCTCTCAGTGATTCACATAATTTTTCCCTTTTTTGTAGTACGGAAAAGACGATATGTCACTCAACTCACATGTAAAAATTGAATACAACAACAATAACTACTACACCCAAAACAAGTTAGAATCAACTATGAATCCTGACTACTGTCATTTAAGCTCAACTCATATCATCATCATACACATGTAAAAATCGAATAAGCCAAAGTATTCAAATACTATCATTTTCAAAGACTTATATACCTCCTTAATCATCGGCAAATAAATGAGAATAGTCTTTTTTTCTCTTTTCCTTTTCTATCGCATATATACATATCTCAACCGTTTTTAACTTACACCTAGGGGTGTCAAATAAGCGGATTAGATAGTACACAAATGAACGGGTAAATACACAAATGATACTTCCACTACAATCTCAAACGAAGTTAGGGTCGACGATATGAATCCTCAATTTTAAAAAAAGCTAAATCCACTTAAATCAGCAAGGGGTAAAATAAAAAATAAATTGCAAGACTCAGCAGGCCACCAAGTTTGAAGCTTTACTAAACAAATTGCAAAAACCTGGAACCAAAGGTTGGATATTTTTAAAATTTATGTTCATTTAGGGTTTAAAGACTGAATATTTGCTTCGACAATCTGAAAATTCAAAAAAAAAAAAGGTAAACAAATTGCAAAACTCTGATTTCTTTTTTATTTATACAGAAAGTAAAAACAGAAATAGATTCTAAACTATATATACAATTACCTTGACAAAAAAGATCCAAACTGCGATCTTCAAACAGGGAAAAGAGATACATTAGCAGTACCTCGTATTAAAATATACGAGGTGTATTTACACAACTTTTTTGAAAAATACACCTACACTACTGGAAATAGAATAAAAGCCCCGTAGTTTGGTTTTTGGTGCAATATTGACCCAGTTCTGTGAAAATAGTGGTCCAATTTTGACCCTTCAACTATTGGAAATATGGCAAAGTACCCATCGTTTGGTTTTTGTTGCAATATTGACCCTATTATTGTTAAAATATTTGCTCAATTTTGCCCCTTAAGCTATTGGAAATATAGCAAATGTACCTGCAATATTGACCTAGTGCCAATAAAGTAGTGGCCCAATTTTGACCCTTAAACTATTGGAAATATAGACAAAGTACCCATTATTTGGTTTTTGGTGCAATATTGACCCATTGTTATTAAAATAATTGCTCAATTTTGCGCCTTAAGCTATTGGAAGTATAACAAATATACTTGATTGGTTTTTGGTGCAATATCGATCCAGTGTTATTAAAGTAGTGGCTCAATTTTGACCCTTAAACTATTGGAGTTATAGAAAAAGTATCCTTTATTTGGTTTTTGGTGCAATGTTGACCCATTGTTGTTAAAATAGTTGCTCTTTTGCCCCTTAAACTTTTGGAAATATAGCAAATGTACCTTTGGTTAGTTTTTGGTGCAATATTGACCCAGTTCTGTTAAAATAGTGGCCCAATTTTGACCCTTCAACTATTGAAAATATGACAAAAGTATCCTTCGTTTGGTTTTAGGTGCACTATTGACCCATTGTTGTTAAAATAGTTGCTCAATTGTGGCTTTTAAGCTATTGGAAATATAGCAAATGTACCCTTGGTTGATTCTTGGTGCAATATTGACCCACTGCTATTAAAATAATCGCCCAATTTTGACCCTTAAACTATTAGAAATATAAAAAAAAAAGTACCCTTCATTTAATTTTTGGTACAATATTGACCCATTGTTGCTAAAATAGTTACTTAATTTTGCCCCTTAAGCTATTGGAAATATAGCAAATGTACCCTTGGTTGGTTTTTGGTGCAATATTGACCCAGTTCTGTTAAAATAGTGGCCCAATTTTGACCCTTCAGCTATTGAAAATATGGCAAAAGTATCCTTCGTTTGGTTTTAGGTGCAATATTGACCCATTGTTGTTAAAATAGTTGCTCAATTTTGTCCCTTAAGCTATTGGAAATATAACAAATATACCCTAGGTTGATTTTGGTGCAATATTGACCCGGTGATATTAAAATAGTTGCCCAATTTTGACCCTTAAACTATTGAATATATAGAAAAGGTACCCTTCATTTGGTTTTTGGTGCAATATTGACCCATTCCAGTTAAAATATTGGCTCAATCTCGCCTCTTAAACTATTGAAAGTATAGCAAAAGTATCCTTGGTTTGGTTTTTTGTGCAATATTGACCCAGTGCTATTTTGTCACTTAAACTATTGGAAATATAGCAAAAGTTCCCTTTGTTTGGGTTTTTGTGCAATATTGACCTGGTGCTGTTAAAATAGTGGCTCAATTTTGCCCCTTAAGCTATTGGAGATAAAGAGAGAGATCATGTGTTAGGAAATGTTTAACACATTTCAAGGCACTATAACGTTTGAGCAATACTAGGAAAATATTTTCTTAGTACCTTTTTAGCAATAAATTTGCATTACTTAATGCTGGAAATACCATTGTTCTATCATATATTATCGTCACCTTGCTTCATGAGACTACTCCCTAATCGTTATAGTATGTTTTCGACATTTATGAACACGATTATAAGAATTTTTTTTTTCCTTATTTTGTTCCTTCTGAACACTGATAAATATTATCATCTTAGGGAAATAGTCCAAAAGGAGTGAATCTGGTGTAAGAGTTACACGTTTATGTGTATTAAGTAAAGATCATGTATTTATATTAAAAAAGTTATTAAATGTATACAATATTTTGCTTAGGATCGGTCTGGTGGTTCCATATTAATATGTAACATTAACTTGAAATAGCCGAAGAAACTCATAAACTTAAAATCCTGAACAAGTAATCCATATACTTCATCGCAGGTCTATATATGCAAATGATGTTTCATCTCCAAGATAACAATATGAAATATAAATATTGAAAAAGGATATAACAACATTAAAAAATTTAACTTATTCCTATGCCTCAAAAGTTTTGTTTTTGGAATGCTTTCGGGAACATAATATTCAAATTTTGAATTTTTCTCTATAGTGAACTCTATTGAAACCCTACCACAAAATAGAAGCAGATATTATGGCCCAAAAATGCCAAAAACAAGGAACAATCATTGGAAGCCATGACTAATTGTTCATTAGGTCGTTTCTGATGGGCCACAAAACTTTTAAGCGATTCAGAGCCCATTGCCCGAATTCATGAAGATGGTGTGGACATTAGCACACGAAATTGGAAAATCGTCATGAATTCCTATTTTACAGCCCTAAATCGTCAAAAAATAGGAGCAGGCATTGCAAAACCATGATTGTTTTCATTAGGTTATTTCTGATGGACCCACAAAATTTTAGGTGATTCGGAGCATGTTGCACGACTCATGAAGATGATGTGGACATTAGCACACGAAGAATTGAAAATTATCGTGAATTCCTGTTTTATTGTCACGATCCAAAATCCACTAGTCGTGATGGCACCTAACCCAAACCGCTAGGTCAGCCAACTAATAATTATCCAGTTCCAATAATAGTAATAAGACAATTAAACAAAACAAAATTATCTGAAACTATTACATTTCCCAAGGATTGGTAGTACCAATCATGAGCTTCTAAGAATAGAGTTTTACAAAGCTGGTATGAGGTAAATACATCATCTATTTGAAAAGTACATAAACAGAGTTTTATAAATCTACGGCTACCATGAACAAAAGGCATATACAACAGGGACGCATGTACATATAAATCCAGCTCCCAACAAACACAGCAACAACAACAGCCAACATCTACACGCAAGGTGCAGAAGTGTAGTATGAGTACAACCTACTCCATATACTCAATAAGTAACAAACCTAACCTTAGGTTGAAAGTAGTGACGAGCTGGAACATAGGTCGGGTCCAACACCAATAACCAACAGCAGTTCATAACAATGTAAAGCGAATAATAAAAGAAGTAACTCAGAATTTAAATGCTCAGCTTATTCATAATTCCCGAAAATCGTTTCGCTTTTCAAGTATATCAGTGAAAACTCAAATCCTTTACCGAAATCGTCGAAAAAATGAGATTTTGAAAACTGTAATTTTTTCCAAAAACCTTTCAACTGTAATCAGTGAAAACTCAAATCCTTTACCGAAATCGTCGAAAAAATGAGATTTTGAAAACTGTAATTTTTTCCAAAAACCTTTCAACAGCTAAATATTTCATTTCAGATAGCATGAGGAAAGTACATCTCTATGCCTACATGTCAAGATACGGGTAAAATCATGAATGTCACCAAAACCAGGCAACAGAAGAAAATGCATCTCTATACATGTATCTCAAGTACGCATATCAAATGAAATGCCTCTCCGTGATGAACTCATGTACTCACACTCTCAGAGTACTCATTCTCACTGTCTCGCATTTCTCTCTTACCATGCTTAATACTCAGCACACTCAATCACTCAGCACTGTGCAATACTCGTTGCGGCGTGCAACCCGATCTACATATATATAGCCATAAGGCTCGTTGCGGCGTGTAACCCGATCCATATACATATAGCCATAAGGCTTGTTTCGGTGTGCAACCCGATCCATATATATACATACATAGTCGGTTGCGCTCACTAGGGGTGTGTTCAGACTCCGGAGGGGCTTCTTCAGCCCAAGCGCTATATCGCTGCGGCATGCAGCCCGATCCCAAAAGATGTAATCAATATAACATGCTGCGGCGTGCAGCCCGATCCCTAAATATCACTCTCACTCAGGCCCTCGGCCTCACTCATTCATCAAGCTCTCCAGTCTCTCGGGCTCACAATGCCATGAAACTAGCCCAAAATAATGATATTATGTATCAATAAATGTTAACAGAGATTGAGTTATGATATGCATATGAATGCATATTACTGAGTATGTAAAGCAATGAAAGTAGACCGCTCAATAGCAAAAATGACCTCAGCGGGTCCCAACAAGATAAGCATGCAGCCTAGGCATGGTTTCTAGTATGTATCACAGCTCAACAACTCAAGTACACAGGAATTTCATGCTTATAAGTAAGATCAGGTAACTACACAATGCCACCGAAATAACGGAGTCATTACTCACACGGTGCATGCCCATACGCCCGTCACCTAGTGTGTGCATCATATCAACACCAAACACACAACACGTAATTCAGGGTTTCATACCCTCAACACTAAGTTTAGAAGAGTTACTTACCTCGAACAAGCCAATACCAATATCGAGCAAGCCAAGCGATGCTCCAAAGATGCCATCACGCGCGTGGCGACCTTCGAACGACTCGAAACTAACCAAAAATAACTCAAATACATCAAACAATGCTAAAGGAACCAATCACAATCGAAAAAGGTCAAATCTTTAATCAAAAGCCCAAAGTCGGCCAAAAAGCCCAACCCGAGCCCGCACCTCCGAACTCGACTAAACTCACAAAATCCGTCAACCCATTCAATTACGAGTCCAACCATACTAGTTAAACTCAATTCCGACTCCAAATCGATGTTCAAAACTCAAAAATTCGCATTATGAAACTTTAGACCAAAACCCCCAATTTTCTCTTTAATTTCATCAACCAAAAGCTAAAATCGAATATAAATTCATGGAATAAGATCAAAACCAAGTGTAGAATTCTTACCCCAATCCTTGTGATGAAAATTGATCCAAAAATCGCCTCAATCCGAGCTTGGAAATGTAAAAAAGAAGCCAAAATCGCGAACCCTTGTATTTAACATTTTGCCCAGCATTATTTGCGGACAATACGTCGCATCTGCGACCACCGGTTTT